TAACGCGGCCTTGCTTCGGGCCTGGGTCCCGTCAGGCAGCAGGGCGGGCTGGGCCTCAGACACCCCGGCCCCCCACCCAGCCAGGCCTCAGCCCGGTGACTTGTGCTGACCCTCAGTCGCAGTAATTCCCAGTAATTCCCAACCAACTCAGCCTTTCTCCCCCCCAGTTCCCAGGATTCGACGACCTCTACTGCAAGTTCTGCTTCGTCTACGGCCAAGACTGGGTTCCCACAGCGGTGAGGCCCCACTGTGCACCCCCGAAACCCAGGCTGCCTGCCCTCAGGGGCTTAGCGCAGGCCCCTGGCTCATGCCACGTTCTCCCCGCAGGGCCTGGAGGAGGGCATCTCCCAAATCACCTCCAAGAGCGACGTCGCGCCCACCACGCTCGTCTGGAACTTCCCCATCGACATTACCTTCAAGAGCACCAACCCGTTCGGCTGTGAGTGCTGGGGGGGGCGGCGGGATGCAGCTCGCAGCCCAGGCCCCCCCCCCTCACCCACGCTTCGTTTGCAGGGCCGCAGATTGTCGTGAGCGTCTACGGACCCGACTTTTTTGGGAACGACGTGGTCAGAGGTTATGGAGCTGTTCATGTTCCCTTCACGCCCGGAAGGTGAGATGACAACCTGTCTGTCAGGACTGAAATGGAGATTTTAGGGTTTTTTTCCCAGTTACTGTGTTGTTTCAGAAACAAAAACGTTGCCGTATCTCCTCATCACGCCTGGTCCGTTTGGTACAAAGAGCGTGGATTTTCTAGCAGCAGGTTATCCAGACAATTTTTGGTAATCCTGTAGCCAACTATAAAATCAAAGCTGGTGTGTAGAAAGCCCCGTTACGAAGCACAGTACGTGTCCTCTCCCCCATCACTCTCAGCACATGCTAAGCTTTCCTTCCCACTGCTGGAAATGGAGGAAGATGCGCTCTTCCTCTGCCACCAAGCCCTTTCTTTGTGGAAGGGACAGTATTATACTGCGAGATGCCTAGTGGCGTGATGTGTCTGAAATTCTGGTACCTTCATAAATACGAGAAGTCTTGCCAGTGCAGTTTGGTGCATTTCTTAAGTGCTGTGTGTCTCACCTTTGTCTCAGGCATACGAGAACCATCGCTATGTTTGTTCCAGAGTCCACATCTACGCTGCAGAAGTTTACAAGGTAATAATTAAAGACCTTTTTTATTTTTATTTTTTTTAAAAAAAGGAGTTCTTCTTGCTCTTAGTCACAAAGGTCTATCCAGCTTCTCACCGGTGCATTCGTGTGAATACTCTAGCAAAACCAGATAGTTTTGTAGGTAAAATGGTGTTTTTTCAGGTGTCTAGGTCTTCTGAAGAGCTTTCTTAAAACATGTTAACTACCTGCTTGCAGTAATGCTAGCTTGTCTTTTTTTTTCATCCTCACATTTGAGCAGTGTTGGTTTGAAAAAGAACTAACGTCAGCAGACTGGTACACGAGTTCTTGTACTGGGTGGCAGCTCCACGTTCCACAGGTTGATTCCTGTCAGTGATGTGACGTGCAGAGACTAATTTTACTGAACATTTTAGTATTCCTGGGATTCCTTTAGTATTCCTGGGACTGTAAGGAGGTGTGCTGCAGTCCGTCCCTACATCTTACTGTAGCTAAGGACTTCTCTTGGAGGACAGCCGCCTTAAGAGCAACCTGGAAAGCCAGGGCAGAACATGGCAAACTAATTCCCAGTTCTACTTCTCCCGACTGGAAGGTGTTTGCTGTAACCTTTGTCTTGTTTACACACACACACCCCCTTCCGAAGCAGCCGTCTCTGCACAGCAGTCGAGGGCATTAAAGTTTTTTCCTCCCACGGTGGTGGTGAAGCCAGGGGGGAGCTGATCGTTCAAGAGCCTGCCCGTGCGCAGAGCCAGCCTTGGGGTACTCTGTGCCCGGCCGTCAGGAGTCAACTGATTTACTTTTCTTCTCTTTATGGTGCCCTTTTTGTAGAAGCTACCCTCTAATGTGCTTAATTTTGTATTATGTGTACCTTGGAGAATCCAGGCCTCTCTGTTACCGAGTTTAATCCGTTTCCAAAACATCTTTGCCATAGTAAGCTTCTGCCTAGCCCCGAAATAACTTGGATTTAACATAACGTGTATGATGTCGGGTTCAGTTTCTTCCTTAGAGAGACAAAACTTACCTTTGACAGCAGTAAGGCAGCAAAAAAGTCTTCAAAACTCTGCTGCAAACAAAAGCTGGGAGGCTGGTTAAACCCCCCCTTTGGTTTTTTAACGTGCATATAACGAACCGTATCAAATCGAAACATGAGCGAACGCGTCCAATTAATTATTTCTCATTTTCTTCTCCAAGTTGGTTCACGGGGAGACGCCCGGAATTTACTGACCCCAGAGTGGTAGCGCAGGGAGAAGGGAGGGAAGGTAAGTCCCTGGGAGCTCCTGACTGCACCCCTCGCAGGCCACAGCGTGGCCGTCCGTCTCCCGTCGGCAAAAGAGACGGTTGCTCCTGCCGCCAACAGCCTTGCCGGGGAGGCCTTCGGCCACCGTTCTGAACCTCTCCCAACCGGTTTCATTCGCTTCTTCTTCCTTCTAGTAACGAGGGTGCGATCTCAAGGCTTTGTGACCATTTCCTTCAACGTAGTGACCAAAGACATGAAGAAGCTGGGCTATGACGTGAGCCCGAGCGACGTGCAGAACCCTGCTCTGGTGCCCGTCACGGAAGGGATTCAGAAGTACTGAGCTCGGGCGGGAGATCTTCCGAGGCTCGCAGAGGGGCTTTTTGTGGCATAAACTGGGAAAATTTCACTTCAGACCGTTATTCCGAAAGACGCACGAGCCCCTGGGGCTCTGGAATAACTACCCAAGTTTAATCCTTTCCGTGAGCATACAGGTTGCAGTATTGTGTAAATCATCCGGTAATATTTAGCATTTTTATGAGTAATATCAAACTCTCTCGAAGTACGACCTGTAACAAAATGTTTTCAACAGCCTTTTGTACACTGTCCATATACTTAAAAGAATAGGAAAGTTTATAGTTGTAGCATTTCCCTGTGTTTAAACCATCGTTGCAAACCCGCTTCTTTTTGCTCATGTTCTTTTGTGGTAGAAATGGGAAACGGGGATTATGGCACCTTCCAAAAAAAAAAGGAGGGAACAGGGAGATGTCCCGCTGAAATGCACCCACTTCCCTCCGCCCAAGCCACGGCGCTTTCCTTCGTCATCCCACAGCGTCCTTCAGAGTTTGGGCGAAACAGCACACGCTCTGCAGGAACAAACCTTCCCGCGTTGGCTCAGTGAAGCAGCCTGGGCTGCTGCGTTTAGAACAAGGTGATGAGTCTTCCATGTCCAGATCTTTCTGCATCGAGCTTCAGGAAGAGACAAAAAAAGGGACAGGGGTTTATTCTAGAGGAGACCACGGTGTGGAACATCTCCTTGCTGCGTGGTTTTAACGTCTGGTAGAACAGATTGCATTTTAAGTGCAGATATTAACCAAAAAAATGGACTTGGTTAGAGGAGGCGCTGCAGAGAGAGCAGAGCCTCCCGGAGTGGGCGGCGTGTGCAGCCAAGAGCAGCATTTAGCTCCCCATCGGGCCCCGGGTCGCTGTCCTGCACAGGAGAGCGGGGACCTTCACCCACCAGGGGTCCCTCCAGCAGCGCCTCACACAGGTACCACACCAGGGCTTTCCTTCGCTGATTTCCTCCCCCCCCCCCTAAAAAAAGGCAGTACCAAAGCCACGTAGCGACGCTCAGGTCTGCTCCGCTCGGGTTTTCTTTCCCATTGCACAACCTCCGGGAAGGACCGAAGCGACGTCGGTTGTTCTTCAGCCGGAGCTCCAAAGCCGACGTGCCGCTCTCGAGCGTCGGCAGCGTGAGGGCCCGGAGCTGCCCTCGGCCTGAAGAGCTGCTCTGGGACCTCACCGTGGCGCTGCGCTTCGAGGCTGAACCAACCCCCTCGTCCAGATGTATTTGTTCGTCGTCCCGTGGCTAGGGGTGTTTGTTTGTTTGGGCCACAGTGGAAGTTCCTAAGTCCTAAACCACCCAGGATCTGCTGTTACAGGCACAAAAGAGAAAGAAGCGTGTGCCTCAATGCGGTGACTAACTGCTTACTCATTTTCTTACTCCAATTTGGGCATGTCATCGCTCGTGTCTGACTGCAGATACCAAGGGATGAGCGTGAGAATGACCTAACGTGGTACCACCCTCGAAGTGAACGACCAAGACCTTGAAACCGTAGAAATACCAAGCGATAACGCACAGCGCTGAGCCGCAGAGCTGCCAGGACGCCTATCGAGTCCCGCCACCGCTTCGAGAGAGGAGTCCTTTCATGCTGAGCAGCGTGATGGAATAAATACGGTTTCTGAAAAGATAATGTGATCACTGTAATTTTGCTGCGAGCATTAGCATCTTTTATACCATTTATAAATACTTTTCCAAACACCATTACAGCTGATTTTTCATCTCTTACTTTTTTTCCTGTCTCGTTTTTGTTGATTTTACACTTCCACTAAGCTCCTCCACCGCTTCTTTTGGCAACTGTTGTAATCTCTGAACCGAGTCACGTTGGAATCCAGATAAATAAGTATTTCCTGTTGGCTCAGAGGAGAAGCAAGGAATTTCGTTTCCTCTTCAGAGGTATTTGGGAAGCAGCTAGCTGCAGTAGCAGGATAAACATCGTTGTTTTAAATACTTGAAAGGCAAACATTAAACCTGCTGCCGCTCAAATACCTTCTTTTCCCTTGAGCCCAGTTACCTGCCCCCATTCCAGTCTGAGCTAAACTGCGCCACAGAGTTTCTAGTCCTGAGAATCCTGTTAAACCCCGGCAGAGCCCAAACCCGGTGCCCACAGGGAATTTATTTCACACCCAGCTCCACCGTGTGCCACGACGGCCGAGCCCCTGCGCCGCTCCCGTTTCAAAGGAGCCGCTGGGTGCTCGCCGCACCGACACCGATCAAACCCGCGCGGTGGGGACCCCCGGAAGAAAGGTTCAGAAGGAAACACTGAAAAGCAAGGGTTTGAAGCAAAAATAACCCCCAACACCATAAAACAGTATTTCAGAGACGTGACTATCAGCAGATCCCACGCTGCTACCTGCATTATTAGGGCTTTTGCCCCTTGTCTCTGCATTTTGGGGTTTTTTTCCGACTCCTTGGTGCGTTGAGCATTCTGTTAAGACCCTCACGTACCTCCTTCAAGGCTGTAACTGTTCAACCTGTGAGCTCGTCACTGCGGGAGCTTTTCGCTCTGAGCCGGTTTGCTCCTTGCACAGGGGCACGTGCAGGGGTGATGCTTTCAGGAAGCGCTTCCCGAGTTCAGTGCCGTTCCTTTGTTCGAGAGGCAACCGTTGATACCGCTCACAAACACGCCGTCTTCTTCCAGAGACGGGCTTGCTGCCGCCTTCCTCGTGTCCTGGAACACCGTCCCTCGTTTTAGCCTTTGGTACCCTGGCGGGGCGTTTGCAGCTGGTTCCCCCTGGAGAGAATCCCCTGACAGAGGAGGAAAGAGGCCCAACGCTGTGCTGCAAGAGCGGGTGGCATTAATAAGGAAGGGATTTATGGCCCGTACGTGTTCGCTGTGGTCAGTGTTAAAGGTTAAAAGAACTCGTGCTTTAAGAACAGCCAAAACCCCGAAAAACCCGGCCTTGCTACAGCGAGGGCTCCAAGTAATTCCCTTTCGCCCACTCTCCAGGCGCCTGTAACCACCCTGCTCGTTTACTAGTTAATCATTCTCCCTTTTATTCAAAACTGAAGTTCCCAACCCCAGGTAGCACAGACGGCAGCGTGAGGCTGTCAGCTGGCGCTGCAGCTCCTCTTTGGTTACCCTTAAGTCTGTCCCAGGCAGTGAAATGGGCCGTTAACCTCCTAATTCAAGATGGGCAGGGAAAAAAAAATAAATAAATCTTTATTCAGAACATGTGTCCGGATACAGGAGGCCACCACAACAGAGCGAGACCTGCTAGAGGCGAAGGAAGGCTGTGAGAGAGCTGGGGACTTTGCAGAAGGCCTCCTCTGCTCTCCCGGTCTGGAGCAGCTTCGGAGAGAGCTGCCCAGCAGGACCGTGCTCTCTCCATGGGAGGGTTTTCCTGCCGTCATTGCGGAAGCCACCCTGGGAGGGAAACAGGCAAGGACAGGGCAGCTTGGGAATCAAACCCTCCAGAAAAAGGAACATCATTTGGATAGCCATTAGGAACCGGTATTTGCAGCCCTTTCTACCAAAACGGCGGCGGCGGCAGCAGCTCCTGCCCTCTCGTGGCAGTTTCCAACCTTTAGGAAGACGTTGGAGGTTGTTAGTAGCAATTAGCTAACAAGGTTATGGGAAGGACACCCAAGTTTTTCCTGTTCCTACAGGGAAATTGCTCAGCGGAGCAGCGCTGGCTGCCCTGCCACTGCCCCTTGCCCCGAGAGCCCGGGGCAAACACCCCCCCAGCACCACGAGCCACCCGAGCTGCCTCAGAGATCTGCGCATCAGTGAGTGCTCGAGAAACTGTCTTTATCCCGAGGCTAGCGAGGCGATTTTACAACAGCAGTATTGCAGCAGCCAGAAGTTATCTCCATCCGAAAATGAGAGTCTTGCAGATGGATTAAAGCTGACAGCAATTCCTCCCCAGCAGCAGTGTCGGTTTAGGAGCAGGAGCCTCCTGTAAAATACTCCAAAAGAGAACAAAAAAAAAAAGACAAAGGAAAACAAAACACAAAAGTACAGAGGCACAGACCAGCCAGATTTGAAGTAAATCGGAGCTTCAGCTCCAACTCTACCTGGGCTCATCGCTATCAGCATTTCAGCCCATCACAAACCAGCCCCAAGGTGACCGATTTGCCAAAGTCACCGGAGCTTCATACCCGGATCCACTGCTTGGAGGTACGGGGAGGGCTGAACGCCCTGGATCCGTGGTCCTGGACACGGGTCTGTGGGGTGACAGGAGGGCGGGAGGGCTGGGGTGGGAGATGGGGGCTGTGCAGCATGAACAGCATCAGCGGTGACAGCGGTGACAGCTGCGGTGTGGAGCCTGCGTCCGTGACTGGCCGGGCACCGCCAGCTCCCCAACGCCTGGGGGACACCAGGCCCCACCAGCACGAACCACCCACCTCTGGGCCTTTTCCCTTTAGTCTGGCCATGCCAGTGGACGGCACCGAGCAGCAGCTGGATGAGCTGGTGGCTGCGGCAGAGCCCAAGCACGACATCCCCAGGGTGCCCCTCGAACACGCTCAAGGAACCGAGCCCCTCATGAGAGCACTACGAATCTCCCCTCCTGCACCCATCACCCACAGCCCAGCTGGAGATCCAAGGTCCAGGATCCCCCTCCTGCACCCACCACCCACAGCCCAGCTGGAGATCCAAGGTCCAGGATCCCCCTCCTGCACCCACCACCCACAGCCCAGCTGGAGATCCAAGGTCCAGGATCCCCCTCCTACACCCACCACCCAGCTGGAGATCCAAAGTCCAGGACCACAAGCTCCATGGAGCAGCCACCAACAGGAATTTTGAACATCTTCAGCCCATGCAAACCCCCGAGCAGGAACACCCGGCCCCCGCCCCCACCAGGGATGTTCAGTCCCTTTCCTCCTCTTGCCATTCATCCACGGGGTGCGCGCTGCAGAGGGGATCCCCAAGGGGTTTTTTTCCATCAGCTGGGGAGTCCTCTGGGAGGCAAACGTGGGTGAGTTCAAACCCCAAGAGCTGAGGCGCTCATGGGTGTTTGCAAACCCTGAAACAAGCTCCACATTTGGAGCACAGGAAGAAA